CACACCTCAGCTTTGCTATGGTACTATGAGGAACTACATAAGAAGCGCATTTGGTTTTTTGTTTCACCATCCATCCATGGCTTCAAGTTCGGGCATGAGGTCATTCAGGCAACCCAAAGTTGATGTGTACGAGGGAGACCTGTGCCGATCTGAAATGGAACATATGGTCAAGGGAGGAGTTGTTCTTAGAAGATCACGTGGTTCATGACCAACAGTCCTCATGTTGGCCACCAAGTTGACCTGGGGTGCCAAGGGCGACGTCGACGCATGGAGTTAACCGGAGGGGGTCGCACGAGAGGGAGAAGGAAAGGTGAGTTTTATACCGAAGCCTGCTATTCGTTGTCACATGAGGAAGTGAGGAGAGGAGGCGTAAGAGTAGTCAAGGTCTCTACATGTGGGAATCTGGCAGACACGTTAACCATGGCCGCTGCGTGCGCGGTAAACACATGCGTGACGCCAGTCGGCTCGCGCTTGAAGGTGGGCGTCGGTGAGCGCCAGCCGCCGATAAATGCTCGCAGCCGAATGGAATCCAGGGGCTTCTATTACTGCCTCCCCAGTTTGCTAACTCTACACATGTGCCAGCCGTCGCTGTTATGTTGCGTCTGACGGCCGCGCCGCCCCCGAGCGCGCGGCGTCCTTGGTGGGCCAGGATCCCTTTGTCGTTGTCGGGCCTCGTCCGGGAGAAGAAGTTGCCGAGGGCCATCTCGCGGGGCGCCTGGCTAGACCGAAGTTCATCATGGGTCGCGCGAGCCAGTCCCTTCGCGCGACTGAGGTTTGCGCCCGCTGCTGCGTCGAGCAGGCCGGGGCGAGCCGCGGCGTGCACCGCGCCGGGTTGCAGTGTCTGGTGGTGGAATTCGACGCAGCGCCGCAGGAGACGCACGATGCCCGTATCTGAGTCACCAGGGTCAACGAGGATATCAGTTATGTTAGAAGTGAGCTCGACCAGCCCAGGGAAACGCGCCATCGTCCCGAGGGGCAGGTTAAGCATCTCAACGTGGCGCGGGATAGCGACGAGGACGCGCGGGCTGAGCATCGCGAGATCGTGAAGAACTTGGCCAGGGTCGCGGAGGTAACCCGCGACGCCTCGAGGATTACCCGACGTTTGTCCGAGCCGTCCCACATTCAAGTCAAAGCCGACGTTGCGTTTCAAATTGAAGAGATGCCCGACCAGCTCGGTGCTCTCGGTTAGCGTTTAACGTTTCCCACGGCAAGTCTGGCATGGCAGAGGTTACCGGCAATGTTCGGTCCTCGTCGTAGGACGCGTCGGCCAGGACCGCAGCCACTCCAGGTCCCATATGAGCGGCCTCTGCCCCCGCGGCGACGGCAGGGGCCCCGGCGAGCGCTCTGAACCGGTACCTGGGGCGAACAGTGGTGCGTCGAGCGGCGGGGCATGCGAGCGGGGTTCATGCGCCTCAGGCGGCGCCCTCGCCGGTGGTTGCGGAGGGAGTCAAGGGGGCGGGCGAGTTGCCGGCTGGCCCGCGCCAGCGTCCGGTTCCAGTCGACGAGCCCGCGGGGGCTTTCACGCTCGGTGGGGGCGCTGCTGGGGCGATTCCCCCGCCCGCGGAGGTTCCGGTTACGAGGGGGCAGATCGCTCGCATCGTGGTCCAGGCCATCCTGGTGCCCTTGAAAGTGCCACTGTTCATGTGTTTCCGTGAGACACCACTTAATGGCGGCATGCGCGACCGCTTTCTGACGGCCGCTCCGAATCCGTGCAACATGTTAACCCAGGCGATTCGCAACTTCTGGCGCAGTTGCAGTGGCAATTGGATCGGCGAGCTAGCTTCCCGGCCACTCGCATGCGTTCGTGGGGGCGAGGTTGCCCAGGTCGAGTGCGAGAGTTTCTAGGCGAGCTTCTTTCCGTTATTCGGGGACATGTATCGGCGGTTGCTCATGGCGCCGTTAGAGGGCCCGCCGGCGTGGCAGACCGACCTCTCTGGGCACGGGGCCGAGCAGCGTAGGTCATGGGTTCCAGCCATCTCAGCGTTGCAATCCAGATAGCCCCGTGTTTACCAGGTTCCATGTCACCTTGCTGAGTTGCCCCCGAACTTCGCCGCCCGTTCGCGTCCAGGGTCCCCGAGTCATGCTCCAGAGTTGCAAATCTGCATCCAGGACTTTCCAGAATTACAGGAGAAGGAGTTGCTGGAGTTGGTCGTTACCTGGCTTGGCATGTGCTGGCCTGGGAACCCGTTCATCATTGGTGTTGAAGTATTGTGCGAGGAGTCTTGGAGTAACCATGGCCATGTGGAGATCGCCGAGGGCACCGTGGCCGTTTGGTTAGCCGCCCATCTTCAAAACTGCCGATGGGTTAGAGGCGGTCTATCAACAGTGCGATACCATCGAAGAGTTGCGCCGGGAGAATCTCCAGGCAGACATGGGGCTCTCCGAGATCGTCTGGAACCTGGCGATCTTAAAGGCTTCGGTGCCCACCAAAGTTTGTTCCATTAACGAGCATGCTGGCTCGTTGCCGTCAACAACTCCGGACGGTAGACACCGCGCGAACCATCGCAAGGAACCGCTTCTGTCGCAGGTTATGTTGCCAGGCCGCGACTTTGACACGCGGGTGAAGGGCAGCCGCTGGTTGGTTAACCCTAGCAGTGGCTACGAGCTCCGCCGCATGAGGGTCAACTGTCCTCACTTTCCGTGTTGCCTGCGCCGCACCTGGCCGAACCTTCTGGGGGGCTGCTGTTTTCCATGACCAGGTTACTGACGAAACCGCCAAATTCAAGGGTCATGTTAGTTGATGCCGATGGTCGTTACGGGTGTTGTTCCAGAACGCCTGGTCGGCACGGACTATTGTGACCCCGGCGATGCCGCCAAAAGGTTACCCATGCTTTGGTCCGACTATCACGGCGGTGACGCGAGGAAGGCCGGTGGCTGGGCGCACTCGCCCGTTATACTTCGGCGTCATCAAGGCGCTGGCTGGCAAAATCTACATCTTTTCCCTACCTGTATATGTTTCCGACCATAATATAACAATGTACCAGTTTTGAGTACCCGAATCATCTTATTTTGTTAACGTACTTCCTACGCAAGCCGATTTCGTTGATGTACATAGTTTCAAGCTGGAATTGACAGATCGGCTCTGATGACCGCTACCCATCTGGGTGACGTTGATGTTCCATGTGCCCAGGCCACCTATTTTGTTTCAAAGCCTTCCCCGTCAGTGATGCGGCCAGTGCAGGCCGGTCAGGATGGTGGTCGTATCTTCATTACCGAATGGGCGTCGCGATCGACGCCGCTAGGCTCAACTGATTGATCGTGAACGTTCGTGTGGAGCCTGTCGGTCTGAGACAACATCGTCCTCGTACCCGTGCATTTCCTCCCCTAGGATTTGCAAAGGACAAAGAGGAGGATAAGAGGACAAGGGGGAGGAGCAGGAGGAGAGGAGGAAGAAAATGAGGAGGAGGAGGAGGAGGAGGTTAAAGAGAACGAGGGAGGAAAAGGAGGAAGAGGAGGAACAGGAAGAGGATGAGGAAGAGGAGGGGGGAGGAGGAGGAGGATGAGGAGGAGGAGGAGGAGGAGGAGGAGGAGGAGAAGGAGGAGGAGGGGGAGGTTGAGGAGGACGAGGAGGAGGAGGAGGGGGAGGAGGAGGAGGAGGAGGAGGAGGGAGGAGGAGGAGGAGGAGGAATAATAATAATAATAATAATAATAAGAAAGGGATTAATAATAATAATACGAATAATAAGAAGAATACGACGAATAATAATAATAATAAGGTTAATCAGAATAATAATAATAAGAATAATAAGGCTAATGAGAATACTAATAAGAATAAGAAGAATAAAAATAAGACTCGTAATAATATTACTAATACTAATAGGAATATAATAAGAATACGAAGACTACTACTAATAATACTAGGAAGAAGAATAATCACAATCATAAGAATAATAATAAGCATAACAACTAAGAATGATAATGATAATAATAATACTACGAAGAAACATAATACGAATAACAAGAATACTAATAATAATACTACTAATAATAAGAATCATACGAATAATAATAATCATAATAATAATAAAAATAATAATAATAAGACGATTGATAAGACTATTACGAAGAAAAATAATAATAGTAATACTAATGATATTAATATTCATAACAGTAATACTAATAATACTAATAAAAAAGAGTACTAATACTAATAATAAGCATAACAATAATAATATTAAGAACAATTCTGAAAACAAGATAATAATAATATTGATAATACTATAATAGTAATAATGGTAGTGATGATGATGATACTAATAATAAAAATACGAAAAAGGAATACTAATAGCAATAATATTATTGGCAGAATAATAATATTAATAAGAGTAATATTAATAAGAAGAAGAATAATAATAAGAAGAATAAGAATAATACTAATAAGATTACTAATGCTAATAAGAAGAAGACGACTAAAACTAATCATAATAATACTAATGCTATTAATAAAAATGAAAATACTAATAATAATAATGATAATGAGAGGAGGAGGAGGAGGAGGAGGAGGAGGAGAAAGAGGAGGAGGAGGAGGAGGAGGAGGAGGAGGAGGAGGAGGAGGAGGAGGAGGAGGAGAAGGAGGAGGAGAGGAGGAGGAGGAGGAGAGGAGGAGGAGAGGAGGAGGAGGAGGAGGAGGAGGAGGAGGAGGAGGAGGAGGAGGAGGAGGAGGAGGAGGAGGAGGCAGGAGGAGGAGGAGAGGAGGAGGAGGAGGAGGAGGAGGTGGAGGAGGAGGAGGAGGAGGAGGAGGAGGAGGAGGAGGAGGAGGAGGGAGGAGGAGGAGGAGGAGGAGGAGGAGGAGGAGGAGGAGGAGGTGAGGAGGAGGAGGAGGAGGAGGAGGAGGAGGACAGCAGGAGCAGGAGCAGGAGCAGGAGCAGGAGCAGGAGCAGGAGCAGGAACAGGAGCAGGAGCAGGAGCAGGAGCAGGAGCAGGGCCAGGAGCAGGAGCAGGAGCAGGAGCAGGAACAGGAGGATATGTCCGCCGCTCGGGCTTGGCTGTGCTCCTGTCAGGCCCAGCAGGCCGCGAAGGCCCTGCGCGGCGCAGCGCGGAGGCAGGCGGACCAGGCCCGCGAGGCCACTGAGAAAGCGGGCGCGGAGGCGTCGTCCGCGGAGGCCGCCCAGCGCGAGGCGCAGCGCGAGGTCTCGGGGTTCAAGATTCAAGGGCAATGATCATTTCGGAAACTGGAACGTGTACTTTACCAGTGGCGGGCTGTTTCTTGAATCCCAGGACTCTTGGAGGGTCGGGGACGACGCTGGGGTGGTGTGGTGTACACTTGTTTCCCCGATGTCCCGGGGAAACAACGAAAAATGTATACACCAGGATCCCGTACACACCAGAATCCGCGTTCCTGTGTGATTTTCAGCGCAGGGTCGGGAAAAGCGTCGGTGTATAGAGTTCGTTTCCCTATGATCATTGACCCCCAATCGCCCATTGATCGCCAATAGGGGCCCGATGACCCCAACCCGCCCAAGAAGGTGCGGTTTTGCAATCGGGGGCCCATCGCCGATTTATCGGCGATGTATCGCCGAGTCCAGGTCGATGCGTCCCCCCCGATGCCAGTCCCCTCTATCGCTGCCCCTCGCAGAAATGGAGCCAGAGCGCCGGATCGTGCAGGATCTTGCAGGGCAAAGGGGCGCACTGACCAGGGCTTGGGCGCGGGAGCCGGCAGGATCCCGCAGGATCTTGCAGGATCCTGCACGGCCTGATTGACCTGGATGTGGCCCGGGCTGGCAGATCTCCGAAGGTCTCGAACGCCACTGACGAGGCGCGGCACGCCGAGGAGGTCAGGGTGCAGGCGGAGAAGGATACCGCGGGGACCACACGATGACATAAATCAGGAGGGGAAAAACACACACAGACACAAGTGATTGTCGATTTCTTAGAAAATATGGGAAAATACGGGAAGTGGGGGGGGAAGACGAAAACCCAGAAAATATGGGAAAATATGGGGAATCCTGTTATTTGTGTGTTTTTATTTGTGTGTCCTTGAGTCCCTTCAATAAACATAGAAACTTGGAGATCCGCGGAGATTTCTTGGGTTGGCGCTGGACCCCCCTGGCGGCGCATCGGGCGCCGCCCCTGGCGCGCTCCGCTCGCCAGCGGGGGAGAAATCTGAGCGGACCTGCGAGTTGCTATGTTTATGCCATCGTTGAATTCTCTAGATGCCGCGGGGGTTGGTGAGGCTTCGAGTTGCGCGCAGACAGTCCCAGGCAGTCCCCGCTGGCCTCAACAGGCCCCCCGAGTAGTCCCAGCTGGCCTCACCAGGCCAGGGTGTAGGGGGAGGAATGTCAGGCTGGCCACCGGAGTAGTCCGATGAGGTCAGGGTGCAGGCGGAGAAAGACGCCACTCCAATAAGACAAACTTTCATCAACATGGACTTTCGGAGCTCCTCACGGATCTCGTGGATCAGTGCTGGGCGCTCCTGGCGGCGCCTCCGGCGACGCCCCTGGCACGCTCCACGCGCCAGGGAGGGGGTTCCAGCGCCGATCCAAGAAATCCGCGTGGACCTCCGACAGCTTTTGTTTCTTCCTCTTGTTCCCCCGGGCAGGAACGCTCTGGTAAGGCAGCTTCCATGTCGCCGTGGCCAGGTTCGGTGTTTCGCGTCGCTTCTGGCCAACTTTCCGCTGGGCTCCCTCGGCCCTTTGGGGTCTCGAGGCCTGGGGCTGCTCGCGCCCCGTGCCTGCCTCTCCAAGTCCCAACGGTCCGTTCGCGCACTGGGCAACCCTCGGAGGCCTAGAGGTTGACACCAGCACCCATGTCGGCGGTGTGTCTCCACTCAGGGAAGATGGTTCCGATCTCGGTGATGGCGGTAATATTCGGGCTTCCTGGGTGATCGAAAGATTGCCACCAGCACACAAATCTGGGGCCATCTTGCCCTGGTGGAAGCAACCCCTTGTTTTGGTGTCGGTGCTCGGTTCCCAGCCTCCAAAACCCCAGGGGGGAGACAGCCGGACGGGGCCAGGACGAGGATGTATCTGTTCCAAAGCGTTCCGGAACGCTCTGAGAAGGCCGCGGCGGCCTCCTGTCTTCACCGATGTTCTCCTCGCCCTGGCTTCGTCTTACAGTGTCTCTCTTCACGAAACCCAGGGGTCGCTGGGGACTGGTTTCCCCCCAAAGCGACGAAAACCCTTCCCAAACCCTCCCGAAACCCTCCGAAAACCCTCCCGGGACCCTTCAGAGGGTTTTCGCAGGGTTTCGGCAGGGTTTCGGCCATTTTGAATGGAAACCAGTCCTGAGCGAACCCTGGATCAGCACCACAGGAAAGCGTCCGAGGCGGGGATTTCTACATTACCACCGCCCGGAGGATCGATTTTCGGAGACCTCGACAAGCGGTGGACCTCCTCCTCCTCCTCCTCCTCCTCCTCCTCCTCCTCCTCCTCTAGGCACCGAACCCTTCAGAGGCTCTTGCAAAGCTCCCGAGAGGTCTCTGAGAACCCCGCCAGGCGCGCACGAGGCCTCTCCCTTCTCTGGGGCGGGGCGCGAAGCAGGGCACCTCCCCTCCCCCCCCCCGCCGCCGCTCGCCCTGCTTGCCCTCCCCTGCCTGAGCCTCGTGACCCGGGGCCCCGTCGACCGACCCTTGGGCACGGCACGGCGCACGGCACCGCCGCCGCCTCCACAGCAGCACCGCCGCCCCCCTCTCACGGCAGGCAGAGCGCCCCCTCTCCGCGTCTCCCTGCTGCAGGCACGGCACTGCACCGCAGCCCCTTCCCCAACCCGTGCATCGTCGCCGCCGCCGCCGTCGCCGTCCGCCCCTCGAGCCATGCCACGATCAGTCCCGTCATTCCCTGTCCCCTCTGTCCTGCACCCTCCCCCCTCTTTCCTCTGTCTCTTCCTCCTCCCCCCTCCTAATGTCCCCGTCTATGTGCAAGAGTCGCTGCACGCGAGCCACTTGCTCTTGCCTGGGAAGGCATACGAAGCGCAGGGCGTTGGTCAAGCAACTGGCATGCTGGGCCGGATTCGTCGGGGGGCCTTGCAGCTCTCTGGCTGGCAAGATGGCGGCGCCGACAGCAAAAGGCAGGGGCCCGACGCTCCAACGCCGGCTGCCTCCACAGAGATGCTGCGAGCCTGATCTCTGCCTCCTGCCAGGAGATGGCCATGGCCAGACTGATTGACCAGCGCGCGCAGCAGCAGCAGTCGGAGGCCGAGGCCGAGCAGGCGGCCGCCGCCAACGCCACGAGGGCCGCCAGCAAGAAGGCCGCCGAGGCCGCGCGCGAACAGAGCGCCGCCGCCGCCGAGGCGGCGTCCGCGAAGCGCGTCGAGGCCCAGACGCAGAAGGAGGCGGCGGCCGACCGGGCCGAGGAGGCGCGCATCGACGCCGAGACGCTCAGGTCAGGGGCAGTGTCCGGGGGGGTATTCAGAGGAGGGCCAGTTGCGACCACGGTAGCTGGCTTGCGGGGGGCTCCCTCGTCGCCAGGGCGGGACGCGGCTCGGACAGCTGGTGCGCTGGCACCCCGAATTGGAGCTGCCGCTGTCAACGCAGGGGGGTGGGGGGGGGATGCGTCGACCCCGCAGCGCCCCTTGCTCGCCGATGGGGGCCTGGCAGCCCACCCCGCCCAGGGGGAGGAGGGAGGGAGGTAGGGAGGGAGGGGAGGGAGGGAGGGAGGAGGAGGAGGAGGAGGAGGAGGAGGAGGAGGAGGAGGAGGGAGGAGGGAGGAGGATGAGGGAGGAGGGAGGAGGAAGAGGAGGAGGAGGAGGAGGAGGAGGAGGAGGAGGAGGAGGAGGAGGGAGGAGGAGGAGGAGGAGGAGGAGGAGGAGGAGGAGGAGGAGGAGGAGGAGGAGGAGGAGGAGGAGGAGGAGGAGGAGGGAGGCGGAGGAGGAGGAGGAGGGGGAAGCGGACTTGAGATGATATGGCTTTGGGGCGCCTTAGCCCCGTTGGTGGGCCCAGCTGCCTGGTGTGACCCCCCTGTAGGGTACGGTGGCCCGTGCTGCCGCGCCTGGAACGGTTGTGGCCGACGTTCCCCCCTCTTGGGCCACCTAGGCAGGCCAGATGGAGTGCCGCGCCTGCAGCGGCTGTGACCGACTCGGGGCCACCTGAGCAGGGGTATTTTGTGCTTGGGGCGGGGGGGGGGGCACAATTTGTCCGCCCAGGCGGCCCATGGGGCTGAAGCCCCAGTCTCCGACTCACGGAATCGGTGCGCCATAGGGGTGGTGGCGAGTACCATTACTCACACTTTGTTCCGCGATGATTTGTCATGTTGGGTGTTGGCAATCAGCACCTTTTCCGCTTGAGCCAAAGCGGCGTTGGGGGTCACTGTTGGCAATGCACAACATCGTTTCTCCCACTGAGTGGGATAGATGGTTTCTGATCATAGAGCTACTCATGTTTCAGGGACCTTTTGGTCCAGGCCTCCCGCCAGCGTTGGGGGTCACCGTTAGCAGCGCACAACATCGTCTATCCCACTTCGTGGGATGAACGGTTTCAGAACGCAGAGCTCACATATTCATGTTTCAGGAACCTTTTGGTCCAGACCTCCCGCCGGCGTCGGGGGTCACCGTTGGCATTGTGCTACATCGCTTATCCCTCGGAATGGCACAGATGGTTTCTGAGCACAGTTCAAAACTCCTCATGTCAGGAACCGTTGTGGTCAAGACATCCCGCCGGCGTCGGGGGTCACCGTTCGCACAACATCGTTTCTCCCTGAGGGGATGGATGGTTTCTGAGCGCAGAGTTAGACTATTCATGTTTCCGGAGCCCTTTGGTCCAGACCTCCCGCTGTCGTCGGGGGGTCACCGTTGGCAAAGCGGGGCGCCTTAACACCGTTGGTTTGCCCAAGTTTCTGGTGCCACCACCCTGCAGGGCACGGCTGCCTGTGTTGCCGCGCCTGGAACGGATGTGGCCGACGTTCCCCCGTCTCCGGCTCCCTGAGCAGGCCAGATTTCAGGAGGGGAAAAAACACACAGACACAATTAATCGTCGACCCACAGGAAAATATGCGAAAATATGGGAAGTGGGGGGGAAGACAAAAGCCCAGAAAATATTGGAAAATATGGGGAATCTTTTTATTTGTGTGTATTTGTTTGTGTGTTCTGGGGCCCCTTTAAGATTGGGTGCCGCGCCTGCAGCGGCTGCGTGACCGACTCGGGGCCACCTCAGCGGGCCAGAGGAGGGAAGGGGTGTTTTGTGCCTGCAGGCGGCGCGGTTTGTCCGCCCAGGCGCTCCTCCTCCTCCTCCTCCTCCTCCTCCTCGCCCATGGGGCTGGAGCCCCAGTCTCCAAGTCACGGAATCTGTGCGCCATTTGGGGGGCTGGTGAATACCGCTATTCGCACTCGCGCGTCTCATTGCATGGCCCAGTCTATGACAGCTTGATCAATTGATTTACTGCGTGATCCGATGGATGATGTTCTGAAGTAATCAGTCGCTGCTGGGTGATGTGATGTACGTCTCAGGTGCCAGACAGAAGTTGCTGTAGTATCTGTGACATCATTTCACAGGATGGCCATGCCTGTCCATTGATAGGATTGGGCGTCCGAGCTTCAGGTGCGAGGAGCGGGCCCCACTGCCTGTACATCTACATTGTTGTGCAACTGCGCAAACGCGTCACTTACTAGACACGGTCGATGTCGGAGGCTGCCGCACCCGCAACGGCAATTTGGCCGCGGGGAGATGAGGCGCGCGCGCCCCGCGATCCCGAGTGCCGACGGCGAGTCGTTGAGTGGTGAGAGAGAAGACTACCGCGACATTCAGGAGAGACTCGCCTCCGCGCAAGTCAGGCTCGAAGCGAGGTCTGAGGTGGGGGAAGAGGACGAGCGCGCCCGTGACAGGCCCAGAGCCGAGTGAACATATGCCTGGGTCTTCAGAGACAAAATGCAATCAGACAGCGCCGAACCCCCAGGAAGGACCTGCGTGCACCTAGCACAGTTCGCGTTGCCGAGAGAAACGGGGGGGAGGGTAAAGTTCGGAGCTGCGCGGAAGACCTCGCGCGTTCACCGACGTAACTCGCGAAAGACGTGAGTTGGAAGATGATTGGCGCCAGGTTTGATCTCGACTGCCAGACGAAGAGTCGACGGGTTGGACTGAGTTAGCCCTCGTCGAGGATGACATGGACATGGGTCGCAGCGTGCTGGCGCCGACGATTCCCCCGCTGCCCTCAGAGATAGTCGGGGGCAAAAGCCAGGTGGGACTGGCGACGACATCGATGCCAGACAGGAACACATGGAAACGACTCGAGTATTATAACGGCAAGACGAGGACGTGAGTAAGGTCAGACCAGGTCTGCAGATGCTCGATTTTAGCATCGAGATTGTTGACTGGCTCGTTCATTCGGACTTGAACATAATCAAGGAAGTGTGCGCAATCCAGAGGGAAGCCTGGATGCGCGGCACATGCCAACGCGTGGTACTAGCGCGTGCTAGCGAGACATTTTCTCCAGGATTGATACTTGGGTTTGCCTCGGATCTGACAACATTTGACGAATTCGGTAGTCTTTTGGGTTTCAACGGTTCAGTTGTGATCACTAACTCATGATCACTAGACACTTCCCAAACCAAATTACTCACATGAATTTTGTTGCCTGGGCTGTTCGTAGGCTGCGCAGACGTGTTGGTGCGCTCGACGTCGACGCGCGCGCGATTGTCGGGCTCGTGTGACTTGCGTGCCGGTGCGCTGTCACCGGCATGGCGGGGCAGTGCATTTCCTTCGCTCCAGGTTGACCGCGGAGGGAGATCATGGCGCGTCTTTGTCTGGGCCGGCGCCCCCCCCGCATCTGAAATTCAGATTGCCCTTGTCTGAAATTCAGATTACCCCCCTCACCCCCCGAGGACTCGAGCGATGCGTTCTGCCTGAGACTGCTGCACATGGATTATTCCTGTCGGCCCACTCTGACATTCAGGCTGGCCCGGTTTGAAATTTAGATTGGCCCGGTCTGGACTATAGATTGTCTTGGTCTGGGCTTCAAATTTGGTGGCTCCGCGTGGAAGAGTTCTTCGGTTTGGTGCTGCTGCCCTCGGGGCGAACTTGGTCGACGCTTGCTCTCCCGCGTGGTTGCGACATGGGGCGTGAGAGTGCTCGTGCACTTCTGTTATGGTTGCTGGCGCTCGAAGCCCGATGCCCCCTCGGGCGTGGCGCGCCTTGCAGAGGCAAAAAAGTGACCCGTAGATTTCTCATGTTTGGGGGTGTCTCGCGATGACCGCGTAGTCATATGATGAGCAAAGCTAAGGACATTGTAGGCGGCATCGTTGTTAGTTGCCATCCCACTGCGTGCGGCTTTCAGCACTTTCGACAATCGACGTTAAGAGGCTGGGCGGGCAACGAGTGCCGGAAATTATGGAACAGGGGGTAACACACCTCAGCTTTGCTATGGTACTATGAGGAACTACATAAGAAGCGCATTTGGTTTTTTGTTTCACCGTCCATCCATGGCTTCAAGTTCGGGCATGAGGTCATTCAGGCAACCCAAAGTTGATGTGTACGAGGGAGACCTGTGCCGATCTGAAATGGAACATATGGTCAAGGGAGGAGTTGTTCTTAGAAGGTCACGTGGTTCATGACCAACAGTCCTCATGTTGGCCACGAAGTTGACCTGGGGTGCCAAGGGCGACGTCGACGCATGGAGTTAACCGGAGGGGGTCGCACGAGAGGGAGAAGGAAAGGTGAGTTTTATACCGAAGCCTGCTATTCGTTGTCACATGAGGAAGTGAGGAGAGGAGGCGTAAGAGTAGTCAAGGTCTCTACATGTGGGAATCTGGCAGACACGTTAACCATGGCCGCTGCGTGCGCGGTAAACACATGCGTGACGCCAGTCGGCTCGCGCTTGAAGGTGGGCGTCGGTGAGCGCCAGCCGCCGATAAATGCTCGCAGCCGAATGGAATCCAGGGGCTTCTATTACTGCCTCCCCAGTTTGCTAACTCTACACATGTGCCAGCCGTCGCTGTTATGTTGCGTCTGACGGCCGCGCCGCCCCCGAGCGCGCGGCGTCCTTGGTGGGCCAGGATCCCTTTGTCGTTGTCGGGCCTCGTCTGGGAGAAGAAGTTGCCGAGGGCCATCTCGCGGGGCGCCTGGCTAGACCGAAGTTCATCATGGGTCGCGCGAGCCAGTCCCTTCGCGCGACTGAGGTTTGCGCCCGCTGCTGCGTCGAGCAGGCCGGGGCGAGCCGCGGCGTGCACCGCGCCGGGTTGCAGTGTCTGGTGGTGGAATTCGACGCAGCGCCGCAGGAGACGCACGATGCCCGTATCTGAGTCACCAGGGTCAACGAGGATATCAGTTATGTTAGAAGTGAGCTCGACCAGCCCAGGGAAACGCGCCATCGTCCCGAGGGGCAGGTTAAGCATCTCAACGTGGCGCGGGATAGCGACGAGGACGCGCGGGCTGAGCATCGCGAGATCGTGAAGAACTTGGCCAGGGTCGCGGAGGTAACCCGCGACGCCTCGAGGATTACCCGACGTTTGTCCGAGCCGTCCCACATTCAAGTCAAAGCCGACGTTGCGTTTCAAATTGAAGAGATGCCCGACCAGCTCGGTGCTCTCGGTTAGCGTTTAACGTTTCCCACGGCAAGTCTGGCATGGCAGAGGTTACCGGCAATGTTCGGTCCTCGTCGTAGGACGCGTCGGCCAGGACCGCAGCCACTCCAGGTCCCATATGAGCGGCCTCTGCCCCCGCGGCGACGGCAGGGGCCCCGGCGAGCGCTCTGAACCGGTACCTGGGGCGAACAGTGGTGCGTCGAGCGGCGGGGCATGCGAGCGGGGTTCATGCGCCTCAGGCGGCGCCCTCGCCGGTGGTTGCGGAGGGAGTCAAGGGGGCGGGCGAGTTGCCGGCTGGCCCGCGCCAGCGTCCGGTTCCAGTCGACGAGCCCGCGGGGGCTTTCACGCTCGGTGGGGGCGCTGCTGGGGCGATTCCCCCGCCCGCGGAGGTTCCGGTTACGAGGGGGCAGATCGCTCGCATCGTGGTCCAGGCCATCCTGGTGCCCTTGAAAGTGCCACACTGTTCATGTGTTTCCGTGAGACACCACTTAATGGCGGCATGCGCGACCGCTTTCTGACGGCCGCTCCGAATCCGCGCAACATGTTAACCCAGGCGATTCGCAACTTCTGGCGCAGTTGCAGTGGCAATTGGATCGGCGAGCTAGCTTCCCGGCCACTCGCATGCGTTCGTGGGGGCGAGGTTGCCCAGGTCGAGTGCGAGAGTTTCTAGGCGAGCTTCTTTCCGTTATTCGGGGACATGTATCGGCGGTTGCTCATGGCGCCGTTAGAGGGCCCGCCGGCGTGGCAGACCGACCTCTCTGGGCACGGGGCCGAGCAGCGTAGGTCATGGGTTCCAGCCATCTCAGCGTTGCAATCCAGATAGCCCCGTGTTTACCAGGTTCCATGTCACCTTGCTGAGTTGCCCCCGAACTTCGCCGCCCGTTCGCGTCCAGGGTCCCCGAGTCATGCTCCAGAGTTGCAAATCTGCATCCAGGACTTTCCAGAATTACAGGAGAAGGAGTTGCTGGAGTTGGTCGTTACCTGGCTTGGCATGTGCTGGCCTGGGAACCCGTTCATCATTGGTGTTGAAGTATTGTGCGAGGAGTCTTGGAGTAACCATGGCCATGTGGAGATCGCCGAGGGCACCGTGGCCGTTTGGTTAGCCGCCCATCTTCAAAACTGCCGATGGGTTAGAGGCGGTCTATCAACAGTGCGATACCATCGAAGAGTTGCGCCGGGAGAATCTCCAGGCAGACATGGGGCTCTCCGAGATCGTCTGGAACCTGGCGATCTTAAAGGCTTCGGTGCCCACCAAAGTTTGTTCCATTAACGAGCATGCTGGCTCGTTGCCGTCAACAACTCCGGACGGTAGACACCGCGCGAACCATCGCAAGGAACCGCTTCTGTCGCAGGTTATGTTGCCAGGCCGCGACTTTGACACGCGGGTGAAGGGCAGCCGCTGGTTGGTTAACCCTAGCAGTGGCTACGAGCTCCGCCGCATGAGGGTCAACTGTCCTCACTTTCCGTGTTGCCTGCGCCGCACCTGGCCGAACCTTCTGGGGGGCTGCTGTTTTCCATGACCAGGTTACTGACGAAACCGCCAAATTCAAGGGTCATGTTAGTTGATGCCGATGGTCGTTACGGGTGTTGTTCCAGAACGCCTGGTCGGCACGGACTATTGTGACCCCGGCGATGCCGCCAAAAGGTTACCCATGCTTTGGTCCGACTATCACGGCGGTGACGCGAGGAAGGCCGGTGGCTGGGCGCACTCGCCCGTTATACTTCGGCGTCATCAAGGCGCTGGCTGGCAAAATCTACATCTTTTCCCTACCTGTATATGTTTCCGACCATAATATAACAATGTACCAGTTTTGAGTACCCGAATCATCTGATTTTGTTAACGTACTTCCTACGCAAACCGATTTCGTTGATGTACATAGTTTCAAGCTGGAATTGACAGATCGGCTCTGATGACCGCTACCCATCTGGGTGACGTTGATGTTCCATGTGCCCAGGCCACCTATTTTGTTTCAAAGCCTTCCCCGTCAGTGATGCGGCCAGTGCAGGCCGGTCAGGATGGTGGTCGTATCTTCATTACCGAATGGGCGTCGCGATCGACGCCGCTAGGCTCAACTGATTGATCGTGAACGTTCGTGTGGAGCCTGTCGGTCTGAGACAACATCGGTATGAGACAACATCTCCGGCTCCCTGAGCAGGCCAGATTTCAGGAGGGGAAAAAACACACAGACACAATTAATCGTCGACCCACAGGAAAATATGCGAAAATATGGGAAGTGGGGGGGAAGACAAAAGCCCAGAAAATATTGGAAAATATGGGGAATCTTTTTATTTGTGTGTATTTGTTTGTGTGTTCTGGGGCCCCTTTAAGATTGGGTGCCGCGCCTGCAGCGGCTGCGTGACCGACTCGGGGCCACCTCAGCGGGCCAGAGGAGGGAAGGGGTGTTTTGTGCCTGCAGGCGGCGCGGTTTGTCCGCCCAGGCGCTCCTCCTCCTCCTCCTCCTCCTCCTCCTCGCCCATGGGGCTGGAGCCCCAGTCTCCAAGTCACGGAATCTGTGCGCCATTTGGGGGGCTGGTGAATACCGCTATTCGCACTCGCGCGTCTCATTGCATGGCCCAGTCTATGACAGCTTGATCAATTGATTTACTGCGTGATCCGATGGATGATGTTCTGAAGTAATCAGTCGCTGCTGGGTGATGTGATGTACGTCTCAGGTGCCAGACAGAAGTTGCTGTAGTATCTGTGACATCATTTCACAGGATGGCCATGCCTGTCCATTGATAGGATTGGGCGTCCGAGCTTCAGGTGCGAGGAGCGGGCCCCACTGCCTGTACATCTACATTGTTGTGCAACTGCGCAAACGCGTCACTTTCTAGACACGGTCGATGTCGGAGGCTGCCGCACCCGCAACGGCAATTTGGCCGCGGGCAGGAGTGTTCGTATGCCGAGCAGCACCCTTGGGGTGGCGGGATGCCCATGCTTGTCCACCGACGGGGACAGGCACCCTAGCTTTGGGTACGATGTGCGGATGCCAACGCCTAACCATCGACAGGGGTGGGCATCCATGCCGGAATGTCGCCTACTTGATACTTTCAGTGTCGGAGGCTGCATTTTTCGCTGTGGCGGAAACGGGATGCCAATACCCGTCCATCGACAGGGATGGGCATCCAAATCAACATGACGCCAACTTGTGGCCGTCAGTGTCGAAGGCTGCCTCGCCCGCCGTGTGTCAAGCACAAACCTCGTTGCGATGGCGGAATGCCCAAGCTTATCCATCGGCAGGGGTGGGCATCGTAGCTTTAGGCGCGAGGGGTGGGTTCCAACTTTCCAAGCCATCACGGCACGAAAAGCGGATGCCAACTCCTGTCCATCGACAGGGGTGGGCATCCAGGTTAGCGCAGCGCCTACATGAAACCGACGCTGTCGAGGGCTGCCGTGCTCGCAACGGCAGTGGGGCCATCAAGCGGCCACCGAACAGGGCCTCGTAACGCGACCTTCTTGGGGGGGCCGTGCCTGGCTGGAACGTGGGGCCGTTTCATATTACGCCATTGTCGCCCAAATTCTCTTTGGGTAATGGGCTATTCAGGGGTGCTCTTCGAGTTCAGTGAACTCTTAGTGGCACCCCGTGCGTACCCAGTATCGAATGGCGTCGGCACGGGATGATGATGATGATGATGATGATGATGATGATGATGATGATGATGATGATGATGCTGATGATGATGATGATGATGATGAATAATAATATCATGATGATGCTGATGATGCTGATGATGCTGATGATGATGATGTTGATGATGCTGATGATGATGCTGTTGATGATGATTATGCTGATGATGCTGATGGTGATGATGATGCTGGTGCTGGTGATGGTGATGGTGATGCTGGTGTTGTTGTTGTTGTTGTTGTTGTTGTTGTTGTTGTTGAGTGTGATGATGATGGTGATGATGCTGCTGATGATGATGATGGTGCTGATGATGCTGATCATGATGATGAGGAGGGGGAGGATGTGTGGGAGAAGGATGGGGAGGGGAGGAGGAGGAGGAGGAGGAGGACTAACAATAAGAAGGATACCACTACGAATCATCATAACATCACCACTAATGATTCGAAACATAGTATTAGTAGTACGAATGAGAAGAATACTACGAACACTATACATACATATACACATGACACTAAGACTGATAATACTGATAATAAGAATCATCGGACGAAACATGTTAATACAACTAGTATTATCCGTAAGGGCTTCGCCCCCTGCCGCCGGCCCCCTCTCTCGGAGAATGGGCCATGGAAGAGCTAAGTCATGAGGCCTTGGCGCTGTCGTGAAGCAGTATCGAAACTTCATGCGAAGCCGATTCGCAATCAGCAAAACCAACTGATCACAAGAGGGGTTACCACACCTGGCGATTGGTAAGACGTGTATGGTTTACGGGCTTGGTTACCACACCTTGCGATTAAAGGGCCGAGGGAGTTCTCGCAGTTTGGGTTACCACGCCTTGCGATGGATGTGCGTGAAGGGTGGCACCGAATTTCAGAAATGTAGCAAATCCTCTGTGTTTTTGGACCCTGACCCCGCGGATCTGCGTGATGGGTGGCACCGAATTTCAGAAATGTGGCAAATCCCCTGTGTTTTTGGACCCTGACCCCGCGGATCTGCGTGAGGGGTGGCACCGAATTTCAGAAATGTGGCAAATCCCTGTGTTTTTGGACCCTGACCCCGCGGATCTGCGTGAGGGGTGGCACCGAATTTCAGAAATGTGGCAAATCCCTTGTGTTTTTGGACCCTGACCCCGCGGATCTGCGTGAGGGGTGGCACCGAATTTCAGAAATGTGGCAAATCCCCTGTGTTTTTGGACCCTGACCCCGCGGATCTGCATGAGGGGTGGCACCGAATTTCAGAAATGTGGCAAATCCCTTGTGTTTTTGGACCCTGACCCCGCGGATCTGCGTGAGGGGTGGCACCGAATTTCAGAAATGTGGCAAATCCCCTGTGTTTTTGGACCCTGACCCCGCGGATCTGCGTGAGGGGTGGCACCGAATTTCAGAAATGTGGCAAATCCCATGTGTTTTTGGACCCTGACCCCGCGGATCTGCGTGAGGGGTGTTGATTTCGAGCCCCCCCAGCAATTCAGACAACGCGCCCAGGGGGTGCTAAATTTCCCGTTTGGGCCTCCCCCCCCCCCTCGCGCGGTCAATCAACTAGTTACAGTAACCAGCAATAAGTCAACTAGTTGCAGTAACCAGCAAGAAGCAGAACTGTAACACTGGAAACTACAAGCTACAACTGGTACAGGAAACTGCGAACCTCGCGCCTACAGCCTGGTGGCTTCACAAGGGGGCCGGCGGATTAATAATGCGATGCATCATACATAATACGAAATACGCTAACGGTACTTTTAATACAACGAATTAAGAAGAGTACTCCAATTAGGATAAGAAGAATAATTTCACGAACACTGAGAATAATATTAATAATCGTACTGAGAGTAATCGTGAAAGAGGCGAATGATGGTGACAATCAAAAGCACCAACGAAGACACTAATGATAATGCCATTACTAATACTACTAGTAGTAGTAATACTGATATGGAGAACAATAATATTACGAGTGCTACTAATGATAACGATACTGTCATAAACAACACTAGTGTTACTAGTAAGAATACGAACCATACTATTACTAATCCAGATAATACGGATAATAGTAATAATGCCAACAATAATATTAATCATAATATTGCTATTCAAATTAATCAAACTAGGAATACTCTTCAACATAAGAGGAGGAGAAGGAGGAGAAGGAAGAGGAGGAAGAGGAGGAGGAGGAGGAGGAGGAGGACGAGAAAGAAGAGGAGGAGGAGGAGGTGGAGGCGGAGGAGGCGGTGGAGGAGGTGGAGGAGGAGAAGAAGGCTCGACGCTCCCCCCTCCGACCATTCATCGCCGATGGGTTTCTGCTGTCGGGGTCCCATCGCCGACCAGTCGGCGATGTGTCGCCGATTCCGGTTCGATGTCTCCCCCCCCCTGGAGCCAGTCCCCCTCTTGGCGTTCCCCTCTTCTCAGGGACAGGGCGTACCAGAACCAGTCGCAAGCCCTGCGGAGGCAGGCCGAGCAGGATCTGCAGGCTTCGCACCAGCAGGAAGAGAAGGCCGCCGCGACGAAGGCCGCCGCAGACGAGCAGAAGGCAAGCGCCGACAAGGAGGTCGAGAAGGCCGAGGCGGAGATGCAGAAAGCGCAGCACCTGCGAGATCAGACGTCAAAGGCCTACTCCGCCGCGAAGTCGTACGAGGCGCAGGCACGACAGGACGAGGAGCAGAAGGCCGCTGAAGAAGCCAAGGCAAAGCGGGAGATCGCAGAGGCCAAGGGCGTGATCATTGAGAACAAGTACCTCGCAATCGCACTCTGGTCTCTGGTGGCAATTGCCTGGGTCGCGGTGACTTTCTTCGTGTGCACGGGCCGCCGCTTGCAGCAGAAGAACCGCGAACAGATGGGCACCATCTTGGCCCTGAACCAGGAGAAGGTGGAAATCCAGCGGAAGCTGGAGAAGCAGATCGGGCAGCCCGTAGTCCGCTGCCGTACTGGCGACCTGAGCGAACCTCTCCTGAATGTCCCGGAGAGCTTCGCGCCAGGCTCCTGAGCAGGAGAGGCTCGTGTGCCAGTCCGCGTGCATCGTCCCTGGCACGGTCACAGTTTTGGACCCCATCGTCCTGTCCCATCCTGGCCGTTTTCTGCTCCTTCGCTCGTCGCTTTTTTGATCCCCCGTGTCACATTTGTGGATTTTCAAGCTCAGCAGCTGCACATCGCGGCAGAGCCTATAGATTCCATCACGGTACGCTGTGTTTGAATTGCAGATTGCGACGCCCCTGCTCAGTCTCGGCCTCCACCGCACGTGCGCCATCGCATGCAACCTCCTGGCCCATTTTCATGCCCTCCCTGCGCTGTCTGCCGTCCAGCTGAACACGGCGCTAGTTGGCCTGCCTGGGCGTGCAAAATTTTCACGCCAAGTTTTCAGTGTACGAGATCCTTCGGACTCGAAGAGGTCGTGCCTTGAAGTGCAGGGCGGACGAACCGCACCCCGGCGAGGGCAGGAGGCGAGGGAGCTGTGACGGGGGGCTTGCTGGGGACCGCCCTTGCCCCGCACCTTGCTGCACATCTCGGCCTCAGGGTGGCCTCGGACGGCGCCGCATGGCCTCGGAGAGCATCGGACAGCTTCGGGTAGCCTCGGGTGACCAGAGGCGGTCTCAGACTGCCTCGACGCGTGGCGGGGACAGGAAGGGTCGGGACGGCGGAGGAAAGGCCCCCCCCCCCCCCCCCCCCCCCACACGCACAGATTTTGCAGGGAGAGGGACACGGCAGGAGACTTCAAGACCTCAAGCCTCCTGGTGTCGGCGCCCTCCTCTTCGCTCGAGCCGCTGCCGTGCAGACGCGGCAGCCCGCGCGGCTTCCACCGAGCCGCGCGTGCTGGCGGAGCTCCCTCGCGGGCCCAGCGCCCGGCAGGCTCGGCTTCGCAGCCGCAGAGGTCACGCGCGCTCGCTCTTACTCTCGAGAGCTCGTCGTGGAACGCCAAGCATACACCTGCAGGCCGTTCGTTCAAAGCAGGTGCCCGTGGATTCCCAGGTCCCAGCCTACTTTGAAGCCTCTTCCTGCCTCAAACATCGACGCTTTCCCAGTCGAGCCACCTGTGAGTCTGGCGGGCGGAAGCCCAATCCCTACTGCAACCGCCTTCTGCTTCCGGGTTCTTCCCGCTTTCTCCGAACGGCCCCTACGCCGACCCTGCCCAGGCCCATCCTGGGTCCAGGATGGGCCTGGCCAGCGTTGGCGCAGGCGTATGGTTGAGCCCCCTGCTTCGACGGCAGTTTTAGCCCAGTGGCAGCGCGCGCGCGCGCCCTCTTTGCACAGTTTCGAGGCTCTGGCGCAGGGTTGCGCGCAGGGCTGGCCTTTCGCCGGGCTCCGTTCCGTCGCGCTGCGCGAGCGGGTACGTGAGAAAAAGCCTGCTGTCCGTGGGGTGTCGGAGTTGGCCATCGGCGGCCACTCAGTCCATGACCGCCTACCAGACCAGCCCAACCCAACCCGAAGGCCCCAATTTGCCCTCCATTCTCCGTGGGGGGGGGCGCCGGGGAACATTGAAAAACGCATGTGGAACCCGTACCCACCCAAACCCGAAGTTCGGGTCTTCGGGTTGGGCTGGGGTGGTCTGGTAGGCAGTCAGTCCAGGTGTGTCGTTTCTGACCTCGACCTCCGACTCAGAGGAGAGACAGAGCACCGCCACCGAGAACCTCTCGGGGCGGGGGGTCGTGTCGACCCCTGGGCGGTGGTGGCCCTAGCGTCGTCTGGCACCGGACGACGCTCAGACGTGGCAGCGCGGGGTCTCTGTGGCGGTGGCCTGTGCTTTTCCTCTGACCTCGAGTAGGCGATCGACTACATAATCGATTTACCCCCAAGTTGAACCTTTCGCCGGATCTGCAACACGTGCGTCCAGTCTTTTTGTGGATCTACGAACGTTCGACGCAGTTGCCCGTAGACCCGACGAGCTCATCCACGATGGGGTACCTCAATGCTGTAGGCGAGCCCCTACTCGATGCCCGCCGCCTGAGCTCCCAACCCCTCCCCGTGGCTGCTCCTGCTAGGGAGCCAGATGCGAACCCTACCCCTACCCCCCACGATTTCTGAGGGGGAGGGTTCGCATCTGGCCCCCTACCTGCAGCAGCAGCTGCCGCTGCCCACAGGGGGCGAAGCCCGCCACCCTCCTCCCCGCCTCTATGGTGGGCGCCCCCCTCCGCCCCCTTGGAGAGGGCCGAGGAGGCCGGCGAGGCTCCCTCGTGGGAGCCTCGGGGTGGCGGGCCTTTCTCTCCTCTCCCCCCCTCCAACGCTCCCACGCACGCTGTGCTTCGCTCCCTCCCCTCTCTTTTTCTCCTCTCCTCCTCTCCTCGCTCCCCCTCTCCCTCCTCTCCTCTCTCCTCTCTCCTCTCCCCCCCTCCTCGCTCCCGCGCACGCTGTGCTCTGTAATAACGTCAAACAGATCCCCGTGGCTGCTCTTGCCATCGCGCTCTGTGTGCTGCTGCCCCCCAAGACCCCGGGTGGCCTCCTAAGGCCGCGGCCGCAGGCCCGACGCTCGCGTCGGAGGCCTCTGCGAGAGCCGCTCCCGCAGAGGCCTCCCGGCACTTGCCGCCGAGCTCGGTGCGCCACCACGCGGGGCGCATCTCGACTCCTCCGAGTCGATTCGATGCGATTTCGACGGCTTCCGGTTCCGACTCGATTCGACCCGGGGGATTCGATGCGATTTCGACGGCTTCCGGTTCCGACTCGATTCGACCCGTGGTTCCGATCGGGGCTCCGCTTTCTTCACGGAGGCCAGCTCCAGCCTGCCGATGTAAGGCCGATTCGAGTCGCAGGCGATGTTTCCATCCCAACCCCCGGCTTTTCGACGAACAGTGCAGCGGCTAAGGTAAGGAGGGGAACCCTGGGATACACCCCCAAGGGGATATTCGGACGCACCCCCCCCCCTTGTATACCCCAGGGTTGGGCCCCAACTCTGTGGTCCATTCGAGAACCTGCCAAAGCCTGGGGTAGGGGCCGACGTATCCCCTGGTATCGAATTCTTCGGAACCCGCCGATCCGATCAATCGTCGGGAGACTCTCCATGGGGGGGGATCCCATGGGGGGGCAGGAGGGGATCCCCCCATGGGATCCCCTCCTGCCCCCCCAGGGGATCCCCAGGGGATCCTAGGGGATCCCCCCCCCTGGGATCCTATCCCCCCCCCCTGGGATCCTATCCCCCAATGGGATCCCCCCCCATGAAGAGTCTCCCGAAATCGCGATCGCCGATCCGACTCGTCGACTCGATTCTGGGCTCCTCTGCCACGAGCCCGCCGGTTCTGCCGGGAGGCCGGAGGCGCACGACGCGGCCAGCCTGGGCGGGGGGCGCAAGCTGCGCACCTACATCGGGAGCGGTAGGAGGAGGAGGGAGGGAGAGGAGGAGGAGGAGGAGGAGCAGGAGGAGGAGGAGGAGCAGGAGGAGGAGGCGGAGGGGGAGGCGGAGGCGGAGGAGGAGGCATTACCATAACACGAAACATGCTAACCATCATAATGCTATACATCATATTCATGATACTACTGAGAAGAATAGTACTAAACATACAACGAATGCTTATACTTCTGAGATTTATAGCAGTACTAGTACGAATCATATTATGAATACTGCTAACATTAGCAATGCAGATGCACTTGCGAAACCACATCATAATAACTCTATGAATTTTAAGATTTAGAGACGTTCTGATAATGCTACGAAGGATACGGACGAACAATCGTAATACTACTAATATTAATGACGATTCTAGTACTAATACTACCAGTACGACTACTACGAATAGCATGAATCACATTAATAATCACAATAGCAAACTTATCCCAGTGCGACCCTACCTAGGAGTCGGAGCCCCTAGGAGAGCAGCATTAGTAGTAACAGTAAAGCTAAGCTAACACTAAGCTAAAGCTAAGCTAAAGCTAAGCTAAAGCTAAGCTAAAGCTAAGCTAAATCTAAGCTAACGCTAAGCTAAAGCTAAGCTAAGGCTCAGCTAAATCTAAGCTAGAGCTAAACTAAAGCTACGCTTTAGCTAAGCTGAAGCTAAGCTAAAGCTAAGCCAAAGCTCAGCTAAAGCTAAGCTACAGCTAAGCTAAAGCTAAGCTAACGCTAAGGTAACGCTAAGCTAAAGCTAAGCTACATCTAAGCTAAATCTAAGGTGCAGATAAGGTACATCTAAGCTAAAGCTAAGCATTAGCTAAGCTTCAGCTAAGCTAAAGTTAAGCTTTATCTAAGCTAACACTAAGCTAACTCTAAGCTAACGCTAAGCTACAGCTAAGCTAAAGCTAAACTAACGCTAAGCTAAAGCTAAGCTACAGCTAAGCTAAAGCTAAAGCTAAAGCTAAAGCTAAAGCTAAAGCTAAAGCTAAAGCTACAGCTAAAGCTCCCAGGGGACTTGGGGAACCGCGGGGCGGATACTGTGGGAACCTCCCGGGGTGGTTTCCACTGCCCGGCCCTTTAAGCTCATAGGGTAAGAACCCTTCTAGGCAGAGCCTGGGTAGGGAATGAAGAACACTGATACGATTAATCATCCGAATAAGCAGCATAATGATATTTAAGCCTGAGAATGCGATTATAATGAAGAAGAGGAGGAGGAAGAGGAGGAGGAGGAGGCGGAGGAGAAGGAGCAGGAGGAGGAGGAGGAGGAGGAGGAGGAGGAGGAGGAGGAGGAGGAGGAGGAGGAGGAGGGGGAGGGGGAGGGGGAGGGGGCGGAGGAGGAGGAGAAGGAGGAGGAGGAGGAAGAGGAGGAGGATGAGGAGGAGGAGGAGGAGGAAGAGGAGGAGGAGGAGGAGGAGGAGGAGGAGGGGGAGGAGGAGGAGGAGGAGGAGGAAGAAGAAGACGAGGAGGAGGAGGAGGAGGAGGAGGAGGAGGAGTGTAGAGTTGGCACCATCCGACGCCGCGTGGTTCGGGGGCGCCATGTGGCAGCACCCTCCGGCCCGTCCACGCCACGAGCGACGAAAGCATGCCGTGCGGCAGGCTGGCGTCGCGTCGACGCTGTGGCGACCCCGCCATGGGTGTTCAAGGTTAAGCGCCGCGAGTGGCCCAGAATCTGCCGATATGGGAGGGTCTGGCGATCGCAGGGCCGCCGATCGTTCAAGGTGGAACGATCCACGTGGTGTCGGAAACCATCGCTGGGGTCGTCACGACGCGAACCTGCCGTACTCATCGTTCGTTGAAGGTAGGTGTTCTTGGATTCTCTGAGTCTCCGATCTGCTTAGGGCCCTTCCTATTTCCAGGGTCGAGCGGTTTTGCCTATTCCTTCCTTTGCAGGGGGCGGGGACCCAATCTACTTTCGACGCTTTCTTGCTTCCTGCTTCATGCTTCTACCCACTTCTTCCAAACGCTAGGTATCCATACCCTCGCGGTCTGGATTCCGAGGCGCGATCCCATGGATCCGCAGTCGCACGGAGATATTCCGCGCGGGACATCGGCGAAAAACCGCCCCGTGTTCATGGGGTCTGGCGGCCGAGGAGCCCGAACCGCAAGGCCGTGTGTATGCATACGTTTCCCTCCCACGAGCCCGCTCGTCGTTCTTCGGCCCCAGGGCCCTCCGCCGTCTTCGGCGCGCCCCAGCGGCGCGCCCCGGCGGCGCTGGACGACCTGGGCTCGATGGCGGAGACACCGGGCGCCGTCCATCCGGGCACGGCCTCCGCTTCTGGCGCGCCCGTCTGCCCGCGCAGCCTCTCCGCTGGGGCGGGGCTCACGTGGCGCCGCCGCCGCAGCGGCGCGCCCGCCGCCCAAGGCGCCCGCGATGGATGTCCGCCAGGGCCGCCCGCGCCAGACGCGGCGCGGCGCCGCTGGCCCATCCGCGCCGCCTTGCGCCGCCGCGCTCGCGCCGCCGCCGCCGCGAGCGACCAGCCCAGCGCGCGTGCCAACGAGCGCGTTCCCCTACTCTCAACGTGCCTACTCGCCAACGTCCGACTTGCACATGTCTGCTTCGATGTAAGGTGTCGTAAATCTTCTATGGCGGATTCAGGCCATTTGCGAGTAGTTACTTTGCGAGTAGTGGAACGCGCTTGTCTAGTGCGGATCAGCGCCCGCAGCCGGGGCTGACGGTCGGCCGGCCTCCGCGCGGAGGAGCCCTTCGGCCGCCGAGGTCTCTGGGCGTTTCCTCCGGCCTCTGTCGGGCTGCCAGAGGGCTCGGGTGGTCGGGCTCCTCCAGATCTGCGGACGATTTGTGTGCACCGTGTCGCGTTGGCGTCTCCCGAGGCGTCGGCGATCCTCGGCCTGGGAGTGGTACGGTGCAGGCTTGTTCGGCCCTCGGAGCCGCAGAAGTATGCCCTGGACTGCACGACAGCGCGGCCTTAAGCTTAAGGGAGTCTGGACACGATATGGTGCACGTGAGCCGTTCTTGTACGGGACGCTCCCAGGCGCCCGCAGCAGGCAGGCCCTGGGCCAGGGCC